TACCACTCTGAATATTTTAAGTACACAAAAATACGCACTTTTACCATATAGTCTTGTTTGTATAATCATCTTACACAGATGTGTGAGTTTTTAAATAATTTACCTTCTTAGGAACATAAATAATCAATATTATAGTTTCAAGATATGTGAAAATGAAGGACTGAAAATAAAGCTCTTTCACTTTTGAGTGAAAAAAAAATACAACAGTGTACTGCTGCGTGAGTGGTAAGGTAGGATAGATGTGAAAAGCAAGTAATGTATGACAGTACTATTTACAGAACAGTGTGAACTGTGTTGAATAATCTTAGTATTCAGTTTCCTCTACACCAACTCCCATCCATTTCTCCTTTTCCTACCAAGGGCAGGATGGGAGAGAGAAGGATCTGACAGACCCTCTAGACACTGTCCCAACCTAGAGGGATCTCCTGAGCTCTAAACATGTTTCAAGTTGCCCAGTTCTGTATCTTCTTAGACGTCTCACAGGGGTTTGAATTTTAACTTATATAAAACAGAGTACATTGGGGGCAATATTATCCCCTTTTTATATTTTCTGTCTCATATAATACATTCACCCTTTACCTTACTGGCTTATGCTCAACCCCGAGGATTCATTCACACTCCTTTCTCATCCTTCACCATAAGTCACTGTCAATAACTCTTGAATTCACCAACCCCTTCTACCTTCATCACCACTTCTTTCTTTGGGCTTTCCAATCTCCTCACTTCTTCCTTCACCTGGGCTTTGGGACCAATGTCGTGATTTGTCCATCTGTCTCCAGGAGTTAAGATTCTGGTCACCTTTCACAGGAACATCCAGGTAATCTTTCTGAACAACAAATCTGATCCTGTCTCGTGCCATCTGCCCTGACCTCTCTATTCACAGGTAAAATAGAAAAACGAATTTTTAAAAGACCAACTCTTTCTGCCCTTTCTCTGTAGCCACATCTTTAGTCACCATATCATCACTCTGAACCACTGCTAGTCCATGCCCTCCTGGGCGACCCCGTCTGAGGGAAATGACTCACAAAGACTCCAGCCTCCTCTGTGACATTTTTGCTGATCTCCCCCATTTGTAAGCACTGTTCTCCTTTCAGTCCTCACACGTCTTTCTCCTGGAATTCATTACATCAGACTGATTGCCTGTTTACTCCCCACAACACTGAACTGTGGATGCCCTGAAGACGTGGCTTTTCTACTGGTTCATTTTGTAACTGTTTAACTTAGCAGAGTGTCACTTATGGATTCAATGAGTATTTGTGCATTCAACAAATATTCAATAAATCTTCACAACTGACATTAAATGAGTGAGAGTAATGAGATGTTTTAAATCAGTATTACCTTGAATTTACATAATTCCTATTAATGAGAGACCATCAATATTCTCTGCATTTCCCATACGCAGCATGGCCTTTAATGGCCCTGCCTCTGAAGTTACACAGCGACAAGTCCACTAAGCTCTATTCACCAAGTGTTTGTAAGCTCACCTAGACCCAAACTTTTGATGGGAGAAGTTCCAAAATTTTGATGCCATTTGAAAACCACAGCCGCCATCAGAGGATGCTGGTGAACTAATTTAATGTTTTGAAAATGCATAAGGAAAAGAATCACTTATCCTGTGTCTCTGAAACAAACTGTATAAGTTAAGTGACCAAATCGTAAGTATAGAAAAATGTCTCTTCATAGATATATTCCAGTTAATAAATGAAGAAGGATAGAATTAGAATATTTTTGCAACCCCTCCTACTTTGCAACCCTTGAAGATTCCTGGATAATCAAAGACTATTAACCAGAGAGAGAGAGAACCAGACATTATATACCCTCTTTTGGAAGAATACAGCACTACTTACAGAACAGACTTGGGGGAAAGTATGTCTGATGAGTCTGGAACCATCAACTTAGGGAAAAAAGGGAAGAGAGAAGAACATGTTACTGAGACCTGGGGGACGTTATCAGCACGGTTCAGACTGAGGGAAACTACAAGACAAATAGCCTGGTTTCTTCCATAAATAAATGAAGGAAAAAACAGAGAGACAGACGGGTGAGAACCTACAGAGACTTGAATCATATCAACCAATCACAATGATTTTTTTTTGAATCCTGATTAAAACAAATAAAGCATTAAAAAAGTGATATCTGCAAGATAATTAGAAATTTGGGCAATGAGTACGTATTTAGTGATATTCAGATGCTATTTTTAGGTAAGATGATGTAATGGTATTCATAAAAGAAAGTCTTATCTTTTAATAACACATTCAGAAATACTTATGGGTAAAATTGGGGGAGGGTATAGCTCAAGTGATAGAGCACATGCTTAGCATGCCTGAGGTCCTGGGTTCAATCCCCAGCACCTCCATTTAAAAAAAAAAATTAAATAAATAAACCTAATTACCTCCCCCTGCTAAAAACAAAACAAAGAAAATAAAAATAACTAAACTGAAAAAGAAACCCTTAGAAATATTTGTGGGTAAAATGATATAATGTCTGGGATTTACTTCAAAATAATATGAGAGGAGATCATAGGTGGGGACCAAAATAAGACTGCCCATGACTTGGTATTACAGAAGCCAAGTGATGGTACATGAGGGTTCAATATACCTCTTCCATATTGAACTTTTCCTATAACAAATACTTATTTTAAGAACTCAAATTTACTAATTCTCAGAAGTCAAAACTCCAAAGCAGAAATGCTATGCTGCACTTCGTGACCTCACCCGTCTGCCTCTCCAGCATCACCCACACCACCCCTGCTTTTCATCTATGTTTCAGCTACATAAAACTAATCCTAGTTTCCACAGAGGACTGTGAGCTCTCATACTTCCAAGTGTATGAATTCCCCCTTTTCCAGAAGGCCAAGTCCCATTGTCCTCCTGGCAAAATCCACTCATTCTGTCACATCTCCTCATTGCCAATTCCAGGTCCCAGGCTCTCTGCCGTGTACCAGAGATACAGTGGAGGGATGGACACGGACCATTTGCCACTCCCACCTGGCACCCCACCCCCTCCCTGCCCTCCTTTTTGCCCTGTGAGGCTGGCCCATTTAGACTGTATTAAACGCTCCCTTGTCCTCTGGCTCCTGTTAGAATTCACCAGAGGGTAGCAACAGCAGAAGATCTGGGGGGCAAGAACTGTAATTATGTCCCCGGCTCTCTCTCTGCCAGGCTGGCATGGGCTGGTGGCTTTCACTTAGCAAACACTACTCCTATTGGGTGGTTGTTCCCAAATAGTTCTCTTTTGGGTACAGCTGACTGCTCCCTTGCCTTTGCACTTTTAGCTCAGGAATACACCATCATCCATTGTTGCTTCTCACAAAACCTAGTGCACTATTCGGAAAGAGTCTCTCGATTAAATTCACCTCTAATTACCCAGTTTCAGTCTGCCACCTCCCTCTTGTTCAGACTTTATATAATTGTAAGCAAAAACAACCCAAATCAAAAAACACTGTAGAAAGAACCTGACATGGATACGGACTGAAAAGTTACTGAAGATGGGAAGAGTTCAAGAACATTTTAGATTGAGACAGCATATGCAATGGCCCCGTGGTACAAAGGAAGCAAGTGATGCTCAAAGTTATACTTGAATTGAGAGGCAACGAACTAGAAAGTGAGGAGGGCAGTGGGAGAGGATAGAGAATCAGAGAGAAACTCAATTTTTCAGTAAAGATTTAGATTTCGATCTTGAGAGCAATAGGAAAGTGTCTAATATTCTCCCTGGCCTCCCAAGCCTAGGCAAGGAATCATCTTAGACATTCCCTGACAGCCTTCTACAACACAGTCAGGACCAGGAAGCTCTGACACATGGCAAACATTCAACACGTCTTCACTGGCTTAGTGAATAAATCAATGAGTAAAACACACATGACTAGGTTTGGGGCTTTCCTGGTCACCTCCAGGAACTCTCCCTTGCACATATCCTACTTGAACTTAGCCCTACTTGCTCCTGGCTGAATCTTCACCCATAACTAGCATAAAGGCTTCTCAAGAGAAAGAGCTGTACATGAGTGACATCCCTGAAAATGAGATCTTTCCTAGAACAATTTTTACACTTAACAACCATTTCATTCTAGAGCTGGCAGATATGGCGAGCAACATCACCATGTCATGGTGATGGACAGTCTTGCCATCATCACAGTAGGTTGTGCTGTTAAATCTCACTAACTCGAGGTGATTGAGGAAGTCATTTTGAATCCACGAGATGAGTGAGAGAGATGTTTTCGGTCATTTCGAACAAGAAATACAACTTTATTGCCTTGAGGCAAAAGGGGAAGCACAAACCAAGTGCTAATCAAATCCAAGGAGAAGATTTATTTTAATTTGCTTTACAAACTGACAGTGTGGCCTGATTCACACCAGATGAAATGATAAGCAAAAATTTTAATTGGTTTCCTCCTCATTCAATAGTAAGTTGGAACACACAGCTAAAACCTGCCTGAAATTGACCTTATGCTATAAATGTACCGTTTTAATGCCAGCAACAAAATTAAAACAAGAGGGTCTCAATACTGTGCACCTAAATATTCATGAACGTCACAACAACGATGTCTTTCAATATTCAGGTATTTTGTGATAATGCCCACCTTATGCTTAAGCAGACAAGATGGAAGATGAATCAAATGACCATTTTCCTTTTTACCTAAACACTCAAGTCCTCAGTGAACCATAAATATCAAATGGCAAGGTTTCTGCATCAATGCTGGGAAAAGACTGTGGCATAATGCTTTTTAATTAGCATGAAAACTCTGCATTACATTCTGGTAGACAATCAGGAAAATGAGCAAATAATATTCATTTATCTTTGAAGTTCAAACAAATATGTAACCAATTTTTTTTAATGACATGAAGAATTACTTTTTGTTTTTGTCTTCTCCTAGAAACTCTATATTGCATAAAGTTTATAAGTTGATAAGCCAGGAGAGAACATTATATCAAAGTCTTGGAAAATGAATAAACTCTAACCATGACTAAAATATATTTCACTTCAGTAAAACAGAATGTATTGCTCACCAAAGAGGCCATGGTGAATCCAATGACTTCAATATAACCATCATCATGACGCTGAGGTTCAAAATCATGGTGATCTCCCGGGTTCCCCCAGGGCATTGTGCCAGCACAATATCTGCAAGGGAAGAGTAAAAACAATTAAATTTGGTCCAGTCCTCTCATGATTACCATTAAGGATTAACTGATAGTTAGATCCAATGTTTATTTCACACAAAAACAGCCTTCTACTCTTGGTTCACACCTTTCAATAGAAAAGAAAATGGATTTATCATCTCCAAATATCAATTTATGAAAATGAGTCAAAACTTTACAATGAAAGCATGCCATGGTGCCCAGCTTTCCCCTAATTCATTATTTATCAGTATTTCTCACCCTCATACATGCCTGCTTTCTATGATATGCCATGAGTTATCAATAGGTGGTTTCGGAATTTGGTCTTGGAGGAAGACATACATGCCAATAGGAAAGGGAGTGGGAAGTGAGCTGGGGAAGCATTCAACAGCACATACAGAGTCAAGGTAAAATGTCCAGGACGAGGGAAGGTAGCTGAACAAGACAGAGTGACAAAGGGATGAGAGTAAGGAATGATGTTAGAAAGGAAGGGAAAATAAAATTGAAAAGTAGAGGAAACAGAATCCAAGGGAAGGATGGAGTAGGAGCAAGAAGAAAAAAAGCAAGGAGAAGAGGAAAAAAATGAAAGCAAGCTAATAAAAAATCTTTCCAGAGAATCTAGGCCTTCAACTTAAACAACTAAGATGAAAATACTTGTAAGGGACCATACTGAGCATAGCCCAAAGTAATCAGGAGACTGTAATACATTTTCTTAGCCATAGATTTACATACAATTCTCATTTCAACTAAATTCAGTCTAAATAGAACGTATTTGTGGATTTTGTGTCTGAGTTGTCTGGTTTGCAAATAAAGGGTCATAGATCCATCCCTTCCAAAATCTTGGCTTGGGAGCCTAAAGTCTAATTTTATGCCACTGAGATAATATGCTTATTCTGAGAGTAGTTAATCTTAAATACCCCTTTCTCCTGAGGTATGTAATAGTACCAAAGAGAGTTGAGATCCTGGCTAGAAAATGCGACTCTAATTGATCCTATTTTTTCAAAGCCATCATCTGGCAATGATTTTGAATGAATTCCATGCTGAAATCAGGCTGGATGGTTTCCTAACAGCTTTTGGGAAACTGAGAACAGGGATTTATTCAAGTCTATCATTGTTGGGGGGTGATGGGGTAGGAGGGGTCAGTAATTGAGAATTAAAATGTTCAAGAGGGCTGTCTGGTTTCTTAAGGATGGGTAAGTATAGACCATGCCCTATCAAACACACACAGAAACACCACAGAGAACACTAAAACCAAGTAGGAGGACAAAATTATCCAAGCTGGAGATCCTTAATAAGCCACTAAGGTAGCTGTTTTTCATTGTTTGTACCTGGAAATTTTCTATAATGAAAGCAGATAACCTTAGGTCAAACAGAGTTTACATCAAGCCAAGGAAACATGAACAGAGCTTACCTGGGTATATTTAAAAATACTATACACTGGAACTTCAGTTCCTGAATCTTTGGGGTGAGATCTGTTCCATCACACTGAAACAATCAAAGCACAGAAAGCCAGGGTTTTGAAGTAGTCACAAGACTCAACAACAACCAGGTTGACAGCTGCACATACCACGGTCTTCCCCTTGTCCCTGTCTCTGATGAATGAGACGCTCGCTACTATGATTGAAAATTCATTCTGATTGTAACTTTCCCAGACCCTGGGCTCAGGTCTTGGTTTTATATTGATTTAACATAAAAACAAAGCTGATGTCTGACCAACATGTTTTTCTCTGGCCTCACAATCAAAGGACCCATCATCATTCTCAACCTTGGATTATTATTAGACATTGAGGTTTGTAGGATCGACATTAGGATTTATGAATGCTTAAAAGAATAAAGAGGATAGAGGCATATGTCAAGGCTGCAGCAATCTCTACCACAGTCATCTGATTGAAACAACAGTCATGCATATAACCATTTATTTTATCTGTTTTTTTGAGATAATTTGTATTTTGAAAATGTTGAACATAATATTTTGAAACCTGTTTAAAAGAAATAAAAATTGCATGTTTTTTAAATAAAGTATCCATTATAAATTAGTATTATCTCCATTAGTGATTTGCTCTTATAAATTTAATCTCTTACAGACTTTGACTGGTCTTCTGAGATAAACTGCCCTGCTGGAGCTGGGCATGACACTGGGTTCCGAGGGCCTTAGGATGGCTTGGCCTCAATACCTTTGTGTGTGGCTCCCCTCACGGGTCAGTGCTTTCCTCAGGAGTGCCCTCTGACTAATCAAAGACAAGTCTTCCATTTCCCTTTCTCCCTTTCCACTGGCAAAAGCCAAAAGAGAAACACTCTAGTCATGACTCCAGGCATCTCAATGTCGAAGGTATAAAGCCTGCTTTTCTATTTGCTCTCTTCACACCCTCATCCCCCATCATCTTCTCCTCTGGAGAGAGGGTGGGGCATCCCCAGGCGCCCTGCCAATTTCTAAAGATTTCTTCAGGAGGCGTTTCAGCCCAGGTTCTGTGACTCCACTAGCGGTCAAGGTGGACTCATTCTTCTCCCAGCTGCCCTGAATGCAGCCTCATTTTCACGAGCCCTCTCATAAACTGTTTCCAGGAAATCTTACAATCCTCGACAAAGTATTTCCAGATGTTATTTACACAGGAATCAAATTCTAGACATCAATTGAAGGTGTTTTTACAACACTCTCAGATACTTAAGCAAACATGAAGTCTCCCAACTGAAGGGCTTGAAATGAGTTGATAAAGGGCTCTACCAGTAAGAAAAGAAAAATCAACATCTTAAATTATCAAACTTGAGTGTTGTAAGCAACTGAAACTTAAAAATAGCATGTGATACGTTAATAGCATGCATAGCAGTACTGTTGAATAACAGGAAAAAAAAACTACAGCTCATACTATTGTATTTAGAAGAGAATTCATTTTTTAAAACGTGTCTACTTTTTCCTCCTTAAAAAACACATGATTCTGGAAACTCATAGAATTACCTGAGGATGGGCACCCTACAGTGTACTAAGCTTTTACAAAGTTTTCTTACATATTATTGCATTTAAACTTTACAACTCTTTAGAACAGAAATTTTTAACTTTTTGCCTACTTCAAACACACGCAAAGGAAAATATTCGCATGCAGATACCTTCCTGTGTACAAGCTCACATACTGATGAATCAAAACAACAAGAGTACATGGGAATTAGGGCAAGATATGCTATGTGCAGGCTTTCATTATTGTCCTTTTTTTTGACACAGTATTCTTCCACACGTTTTACATTTATGTGAGAGATGATTAACTATTACCCCAGAAACACTGGCTCCACCCTGGGGCAAAGATAAGACGGTTTGCTGTTCAACATACATCGAATTGCTCTAGCCAAGCCCCCATCCTTTTCATCTCATACTCAGGAAAAGATACAGTGATGTCAATGTAGAAATATCCTTGTGTCCCTCTGTGTCACAGCACAATGGTCAATAATTGTGGCTTCAAATATATGTGTTGTTACACCAGAAACTAACAGAACATTGCAAATCAACTCTACTTCAATTAAAAAAAAATTTGGTTGGACATAATATAGGAAATGAATAAAGGTGAATTAAATAATGATCCTAATTTTATTTTAGGTTTAAGCTTTAGAGTTCTGGTTTATGAACATGACTTTAGAGGATATAGAGCATCTTAATTGCAAAAAACAAAAAACAAAAAAAAGCAAAAACCCAAACCTGATGTGCTGTTATGTTGACATGTTGTTATGTTGTCCTGCCTGCTTTACAGATGAAGAAAATAAACTCTTCTGAAAGCTTAAATGATTTCCCCCAAAGCCACATACCTTAAAGATAAACGTAGGACTGAATCCCAAATATCTAGACTTAGTTTTTTTCCTCCTCATTGAAAAACAAAAAAAGATTACATAGACCAGTCCACCTGGGATATTACATGTACTGGCTGATCTCACATCTTTCCTAGTTTTTTGGCTCCACTGTGGCCTCTCTGCAAGCGTCTTTTAATCCCTGCTCTACAGCCATCCACATATGAGACATTTATCATCAGAAGACGACCAGATGTGGGGGGGGGGGTCTCCAGTGGCTAGGAGACATATAGAGTTTAATTTTTCTTTCTTTTCTAAAGGGAGGTACCGGAGACTGAACCTAGGACCTAGTGCATACTATGCACGTGCTCCACCACTGAGCTATATATACTCTGCCCCCAAAGTTTAGTTTTAATCCAGCTGACTTAAACAGTAAACACCATTCAGTATGGCCTCTGCCCCCCACTTATGGTCTCTCTGGGCAGGTACTGAAATGTTCCTAGTAATGTGAGAAACACTGGAAGAAGAGGGAAAGTTTACTTTTGGCTGGGTTGCAGGGAGCTGAAGAAACAGGGGAAGTTTGATATAATATGACCGCGATTTAAATAACCATCATTTTATCAAAATAAAGATCTTCATAGTTCAAGGGACCATGTGCCTTTCTAGCTTTAAAAACACACAATATTTCAGTTTTCAAGAGTCGTTATAACACAGGACACTTGCTTTTCGTTGGTACTACATGAAAATGAAAACTTCTGAAACTGATGCCAAGGGTTGTTAGTGGTCAAGTCTTTGTTTCACCTGATTTAGAAGATTTGTGTCTCAAATGTGCTTCATTGGTGATTACAAATTTTATCTGTATCCTCTCAGGCTCCTCCGTATTCCTCTGTAAGTCCATTGGTTTAAGGTCATATATTTTCCTCTATTTTTCATGTGTATCTTTTGTCCTATCCCCTCTTGTCGCAAATGCTATTCTTTATTCCATAATAAACTCAAGCATTTGCTATATTCCCCTCCCTTCTTACCCATCTATATATTTTTCTCTGTCTTCCATTTTTCTCTTTACTTACACAAGTATGCAACAAAGTCACATACATTCATTCCTTCTTTTAACTTGCTTACTGCAAGGAAACATTTTGTCTTTCTTAATAATTAATCATATGCTATTGTAAAATATATCTCCTAGGGAAAAGATGACTTCCCATCTCCCATGCCTCCAAGAAGCATGTTCCCAAAATCTGGGATAGAGACCCAGGAAGAAATAGTGCGTGCATGCACACACTCACACACACACCCCCCTTGAGAACTGGGACTAGGCTGGAGAGTGAGTGACCACAAAATAATGAAATCAAAGCATTTTTCTAAAATTGGAGACCCCTCAGACGTCCCGGAAATAGACACTTTTTTTGGTGAGCATCTCTTTCTACTTCAAGACCCAGTTCAACATCATTCTTTTGATGACTTCCTGACTGCACCACGGGTACTTTTCATTTCTCCCTGTGTGCCACCAGTGTGCTACGTAAGTAGCTGAATAACAACATTTATCACATTGTTCTGCAATGAGCTCTGTGCCCTTCCCCACGGCTGAACTCTGAGTTTCTTCAGGAGTGAAGGCAGTCATCTTACTTAACGTCATCCCAAGCAACTAAGGCAGTGACCAATACACAACTAAATGCTCATAAATGTTGGTTGAACAAACTAAACTTAATTCCCTTAAAGTTCTATGCAGCCCACTGATTAATCCAAGTATATAAACTGGTATTTGGGGTTCATGTTGCGGGGGCATCATATCTCCATTTGAATGAGATGAGTCAACACTTTCAATACTTACGACAACTTTAACATGTTTGGATAGATCTCTAGAGCTTCTCTGTAGGAAATCAGAAAAGGCTGCCTGTACCACAAGGAAAAGAAAGAAGAAAATTCTTCATTACATGGTCATGCCAAGTCCTTGCTTCTACATTATAGCTAGGTCCATGGGATTCTAAATTATGCAAAAATATAAAACACGTTTTCCTTTTGCTAAATCCAAAGTAAAATTGTTTGACAGCAGAGGCTGTCAAGTTGAAATCTTTCTCTGTTTTCAAAACGTAACCTATAATAAAATTTAAGCTCGCAGTAGGAGTGAAAAAGTAGATAATTCTAAGGGTCAGTTTGAAGATTTGTCTCCCTTTCCTGACCCCCTTCTTTGTCCATCAGATGATCTTCAACTTGCCACTGAGAGTGTCTTGTTTCACCCCCTTTAATTTTGATGCCCTCTATCCAATGTTTAACCCATACTTTTTAAAGTCAATATTTTGGAAGCCCTGTTTTTTTTTCCCTTTCTGGCCATTCACACCCCAGGATATCCCTGAGTAGGAGGAAAAGGAAAAAGAAGGGAGCCCTTAATCTCATGTACATTTCCATGAAAAACTTCCCATGTTTTGTCAATTTCTTATCCAAATGTCAGTGCATACTGTGAAAACTACATTCTCACCGAGACTTGCTGTGCATCTTTCAGTCTACCCAATTTCCCTATTCTCTAGATTGGCTTTGATGTTTGTTTTTCACAAACTTAAACAAACTTAAGAAACAGATACTTTTATTCTTAAACCAAGACATTAAACAGTAACCATATATAGACCCACAGGTAAACATCTGAGATGTGAGAGTAATTACTAGCATAGTATAGTCAGCATCTTTATTACCATCAGTGAACTAGTATCAAATGATATATAATACTTAGAAAATGAAATATATACTTACCCCTGCATAGAACATTTTATTTCGAAAACGACTGTTGAATTTTTCTGGATTTGCTTCTGTAGAAAGGGAAAAAGTAGTTTTGTTACAGAGACCTCATTAAAGGTAGTGAGTTAGATTAGCACCCCTGCTTCCTTTTCCTCCCTCCCCATCCCACAGACCCACCAGCTTCATTATCATTGTCCCCTCAGTTACAGGCAGTTGGCATAGTTGTCCAGTGCTACGAATGTGTAGCCCCAAACTGGCAGCACCAGCATGAAATGAGAGCTTGCTACAATGCCAATTATTAGGCTCTACCCCAAACCTACTGAATTAGAATTTCTGGAGGCTTGGGTCTAGGAATCTGTTTAACAAGCTCTCCAGGTAATTCACATTCACATTAAAAGTTGAGACACTCAGGACCCTATTCAAAATAGACAGCTGGCAGGGATACAAGGCAGGGGTGAGAGAAGAAAATGGGAGGGAGAGAGGGGAAGGGATAATTATTTCCTTTGTCCTCCACAGGACATGGCTTCCATCAACTATGAATGCAGCTTCCAAATGTAAATAAATAAGGGGAATTTGGGTAAAAATGAATGGGGAATTTGCTTTCACATTTTTGTAAAACTCCTAACTGCCATCTGTACTCTTGTTTATGACAGTCTGGAAAAATTATTTGACTTAGTGAAGGTATGTAAGATATGTGAAATATCTATCTATATAGATACATAGAGAAGACCTGCAGAATGGACTCAGGGCATGTGACAGCAAAGACTCAGACAGACGGTTTAATTTTGAGTTTGCTCCTGGATGTTATATAGATTGAGGACCAGAAAAAGATTAAACAAGAATCTGCATCAGAGAAAGTTCACATGGATTCAAGGGATTATAAAATCCCCAAACGAAGTACTATTTCCCTACATTCTTTCTAATAAAATTCCAAGACATTCCAAAGGGACACACGGTAAACGTTTGCCTTCTGCTATTTTTGTCCCATATGTTCACTAATCCCGTCTCAGGACTAGGTCTTTTCTCACTAGACAGCTGACTGGCTGGCTGAAAGTCTCCAAATCCCCACCCTGCTTTTAAATGGGAGTCCTAACAATTGTTGTCTAGATGAAGGAAAGTAGCAAGAGTTCACACAGACTGGACAGATTTAATGCTACAAAATCTCAGGAAACAATCCTGGACAAATGATTATTAGATTAACCTCATGATTATTAGAACATGCTAGCATATGACATGGAAACTAACTACAGGTTTGCAATTTCTTTTAAAAAAGGTAGTATTTTTGTAAATTGACTCTTGAGAACTTTTATTCATTATGGTTTCTGTATTGCAGACCTCTCCTTAGAGATGCACTCTGTCCTACCAGCTAAGTATTCTAACCCTAGAAACAAAATAAAAGGTTATTTTCATAGAATATAGTAAACAAAAAGAAGATAAAAATGATCCTAAGTGCTCTGCCTCCCTGATTCTCACTATCTGTTGGCCCCAGAGTTGACCATTTTTACACTCCAGGCTTTCTTCAGGATAAATTTAGCAGCTGAATGACAAAGTTGTTTTGGTCTTTTTGGACCCAGATCTGGGTAGATACTATTTCCAGGTACATTAACTCTTTCTTGCTTTATTGGAGGCAGAGGCAAAATGAGAGTAACTGTTACTATGAAATTTATCGTATGAACATAGTCCCTAATTTAAAACAAACAAAACCAGATCTAGCTATTGAGAAATTTATAAGGAGAAGTGGAAAATGGGACATACAGTTCTGGCACAGAACTTTTTCAGAGCATCAATGTTCACAGCTCTTAAGTGAATCACATACCAACTACTAATATTTACTTTTTTAAAAAAATAAAATATGGTTTGGAGAATATTCACATCTCTATGGAGTTTTCCTATAAGCCTTGAAGAACTGAAAAAGCTTTTCTTCCTTTAAAGAAATACATTTTTTTTCTCAAAAGATAAAAATTATTCTGTAAGACCAAAGAAGGACAAATAAAATCTGGAAATAAACTGCGTTTTTGGTGTTTTCATTCACACACTTGAAAACAGATGTAATTTAACTAGGTAAAATTCAATGAAATAAGTAAACCTAAAACTAGAGCTCTAACAAGACATCTGAGAGGGGTCAGAAAGATAGAAAATAAAGAGGTAGGGGAGTCATACACATGCTTTGGCCTCGAGGGTAGAAAAGATGTGATGTAAATTGTTACCTCTCTGCTGCTCTAATAACATAATAGTACATTATACTATTGACTCCCAGATTGAGCCTGCCTTGGCAATTGGACCCTTTTTCCATTTTTATAGCCACCCTATCCCAAGCAGAAATCAGGTTCAGAAACAAAGGTTGGCTGTAGCTAAAAGAGATGTCTGCTAGTGTGTTGGAGCCTTGCCACTCTCTGCAGAAGCCAGGCCATAAGCAACCAAGGGATAGCCTTCAAATACAATACTCAATCGTTCCTCACTGGCCATTCAAAGGATGGGGCCAAATGACTGAATATGTCTATGTGTCTGTATAAGACTTAACATGTCTCTGAGAAAGACCAAGGAATGTAGACCCCAATTATATCAAGAAAATGCGCATAAAGAACTGGGAAAGGTCCAGTAAAAAAGCTAAAGGGCTCTTGTTCCTTAAGGAAGTTGTGTTCGTTCATTGGTATGAGGTAAATCCTGAAGACCATCCTCAAGAAATGCCAATAATACTTAAAGTATCCCAAGACCCCAGGAGTGGAGTACGCATGGCTTCTTGCTGCAGTTCCTAGACGGCCTGTCCTCCTCTTCCACAGGAACAGGGTGTGAGATGGTGAGACCCAAACACTCACTGCCCGTGGCTATGCCATTAACCTATTTACAGTCTGATTGGACACCACCGTTAACTGTATTAGTTTTCTGTTCCTGCAAACTTGGCAGCTTAAAACATCCATTGATTGCTTTATAGTTCTCTAGGCCAAGTGCGGACTGG